ATAATCCCATGCATGTCAAGCTTAAAAGCAGGCAAAGCTTAACTGCTTAATATTTAAGGATGCATTTACATGGAAAAATTATAAAGAAAAGGAATGATAGGGGCACCTGGGTGGCTCAGTTGGTTAAGCAACTGCCTTCGGCTCAGGTCATGATCCTGGAGTCCCGGGATCGAGTCCCACATCGGGCTCCCTGCTCAGCGAGGAGCCTGCTTCTCCCTCTGACCCTTCCCCCTCTCATGTACTCTCTCTCATTCTCGCTCTCTCAAATAAATAAACAAATCTTTAAAAAAAAAAAAAAAAGAAAAGAAAAGGAATGATAAAAATTAGGAAGAAGTTCTCTGTGCAGGGAGAAAGGATGTCTGATAGATAGGATTGAGAAAGAATACACAGTAAACCTCAGAGGTAATGAGGACTTCTGTGTTTTTTTAGAAAACCTCTGGTGGGTATACAGGTCTTTATCATTGCTCTTTATAACTGACAAATATTTTATAAACGTTATTTTACACATATTACAAATACGTAAGGCATATTTATAACATCTTCTATAGTATTTAATACTTATATATCCAGCAAAATCTAATTTTAATAATGAGATTTATTTTATTGGGAAATAACAAAATGGTAGTTTTTTGAAGTTCAAAGTGTGTCAAAAACGAATTAAATTACTTATTTTGAAGTCTGTACCTTCTCTGAATTGAAATAACATTTTTGAACTTTATCAATGCAACAGAAGTCCTTCTTAGTCTAAAATTAAATTCTTCTTTGAACATTGAATGTCATGTTAACAATATTCAAAAGCCAACTTGTATGGAAAATTCTACAAGTATTCTCACAGACAAAGTGTATTTGGGAAGTCTTACCTTTACATATGACCTGCTAGTGCTCTTCCTGACTGCAAGCTTTGGAAACTGAATCTGCTTTAGAAAATTAGGATTGAAGCAGCACACACTAGCTAGAAATTACTCTGCATCTGTCCTAACAGTCCCACTATCTCAAAACCTTTTCTTTCTCTCTTCCATACTGATCTATTATGGCTAACAGTACACACAGAAAAATGCATTGTAACAAACCACAGTGGCCATCCCAACTGCTGTGATGCAGACTTCTAAAGTACTTGGAAATGACTCTAGACAGTGACACTCCTTCTCCGTATAAACTGTATAAACAGTGTGGACAAATCTTTGGGATTTGTCAGCAAGTCACCTATGTTGGGGAGGGGGGCAGTATCAGCTCCATAAACAGGTCCGCTTTTTGTGGCTGTTTAGGGGTGGTGTGTGCGTGTGTGTGTGTGTGTTTCCTACCATATTTTAGGGGCCTGAGGTAGACAAAAAGAAAAAGCAGAGAAATCGGAGCCCCCTTGTTTGCTCTGCCCACCAACTAGCTGTGAACCCTTGGGCGAAACAAGCTGTCTTTTCTGAGGAAGACGGACTCATTGCTAAGGCCCCTATGCTTTTCCTTTTCCCTGTTTGTTTCTGCATTTGCTTTCTTTTTCTTTTGTAAGTCTAATCCGTGGGTCCCACGCTTGCCAATGTCATTAATTCACTCGACAAGCATTCACTGAGTGCCCACGGGACCCAAGGCCCTGCTCTGGGTGCTGGGTGAGAACAGTGGACACAACAGGCAAGAGCCCTGTGCTCACAGACCTTAGTTCATTCAAGTGGGAAAGACGGACAATAAACAAGTTTTAAAAAAGTAAAATATGTCAAACATGAAAGTATGTCAAATAGTGATAACTGCTGAAGAAAAAGAACAAAGCAGAGGAAGGGTGGTCAAACTTTTAAACGGTGTGACCAGGAAGCCGTCCCTGAGGTGGTGGCTATTGGGTAAAGGCTTGAAGAAAGTGCGGGAAACTTCTGTGCAGGTGTCTGGGGGCAGACAGTCCTGGCAGAGGAAAGGCAGATGAGGAGCTCCTGAGGTGTGTGCCCAACACGTCTGAAGAAGAGTAACAAGGCCAATGACTTGACTGACATTTTTAAAGGATCACGCTAACCGTTAAATGAACGGCAGGCTAAGGAGCAGGAGCAGAGGTGGGAAGACCGGCTGCTGCTGTCATTCAGGCAAGAGACGAAGGCTCTGGTCAGGCTGGGGGCAGTGGAAGTGGTAGGAGAGAGGAAGCAAGGAGAGCACAAGGTTTTAGCTGGCGTAGCCATTTTCTGAGATAGGAAAAAACTGCGAGAGAAATGCTTTGTTTTGTTTGTGGGTTTTGCCTATCGAGAACTCAGTTTTCAATACATGAACCCAGTGAACTCGGTTAGAATCCAAGGAGAGATGTAAGTGCAGACACAGAAGTACCCATGACTTACTGTTGCATGAAAAGATCTGTAATTCTATTTCTGGAAGAACACAGGCACGCCATGTTCTTCTGGGCTTTGCTTCAGTGTGTGTTGCAGGTACAGGGTTTTGTTTTGTTTTTTTTTTTTTACAGACTGGAAGTTTGTGGCAACCCTGCATCGAGTGAATGAATCGGCGCCATTTTTCCAACAGCATTTGCTCATTTCCTGTCTCCGTGTCACATTTTGGTAATTCTTACAGTATTTCAAACTTTTATATTATGACTGTATTTTATTATTACTGTATTACTGTGACCTGTGATCAGTGATTCTAACTCACTGAAAGCTCAGATGATGATTAGCATTTTATAGCAATACAGTATTTTTATTTTTTTAATAGTTTATTTATTTATTTTTGGTAATCTCTACACCCAAGGTGGAGCTCCAACTCACAACCCTGAAATCGAGTCACATGCTCTTCTGATTGAGCCAGCCAGGCGCCCCTAGCTATCCAGTATTTTTAAATTAAGGTATATGCATTGTTTTTTAGACATAACGCTTTGCATACTTAAAAGACTACACTGTAGTGTAAACCTAGCTTTTATATGCACTGGGAAACCAAAAAATTCGTTTGACTCACTTTACTGCCAACACAGGCTCTCTTGCCCTGGTCTGGAACCAAACCCACAATATCTCCAAGGTGTGCCCGCATATCAATAATAATGTAAATGCCTCTAGGGGATGGGATGTGTATACTTCTGTGATGTGAATTTTATGTGTCAATTTGGCTAGGTCACAGTATCCAGATTTTTGGCCAAATATTATTCCAGATGTTTCTATAAAGGCATTTTTCAGACTAACATTTAAATCAGTAGAGCTTGGGTAAAGCAAATTACCCCCCATAATCTGGGTGGGCATAATTCAATCAAATGAAGAAAAAGGACTGACCTCCCAAGCAAGAAGGAATACTGCAAGTACATGGTCTTTGGACTTGAACTCCAACTATTTCCTGATCTACTGTGCAGATTTTGGACTCCCCCCGTGCCCCAATACTCACACATCCTGCTGGTTCTCTTTCTTTGGAGAACCCTAATACAATTTCTTAGGACATGCACTGAAGTAATATTTAAAATTTTAAATTAAAAAAAAAAAAGCAAGGAATAACTTACTCATCAGAAAAACAAAAATAACTATAAATCTCAGGTGCAACACTTAAAATTTGTGTGACATTAGTCAAGTGCCCATGCACATACTACCATATACACTGCAATATGTAAACTCTACTGTGCCTTTATACATATGAAACTATAAGTGCACATATTAATGTGCTTCCTACCTCAATGGCTACAAAATCACAACTCTTTTGATCCAAGCCACAGGCCTCTCCTCTGATATTCTCAATAAACTCACAGAGCAAACAGAAATAGCCAGTGTGAATTCACAATCTGAACAAGGTACCCAAAAAACATGAACAGACATTTCACAGATTATAAATGATACCTAGTAAATGAATACATGGAGAAATGTTCATGACACAGAGAAATGCTAATTAAAACAATAAGGTACCTTATTGTTTGATCATACCTCACTGGCATGATCATTATGACCATTACTTTTACATTAAAGGAAAAATAATAACTGTAAAGTAAAGATCTTTTCACCAGATAAAGTTAAATAATTTTGAAAATTGTAACTACTACTAGTGAGAGTGCAAAGTAGTGTTCTAAAACGTGATGAAGGGCATTTGAGAGAGATATGAAGTAACTGGTAACATGTACTAAGCCATAAAATTATTCATGGTTTTCATTCCACTTAGAATGAAATATATCTTATACATTTTTAAAAATATCCATGTTTGAAAATAATTCAAAACATCGAAAAAGCAAAACCCATGAAGTTGTTCACTAGAACACCATTCATAATGGCAAAAATGAGGGATAACTTAAATACCTAACAACTGGGATTCATGGATAAGAAAATATGTCACATCTACTCATTAGAATGTTAAACACAGCTCCATTAAAATGATGCTGATAAATATTTTCTAGCAATATGGAAAATGATTAATAGGATCTTACGTGAAAAAAAAAAATCAAGATACAAAACTATGACTCAGTTTCCTTAGAAATGTGTACTTGAAAGGACCTAATGGAGAAAGTTATAAGGAAAACTGACAGGAAAAAAAAAAATCAAGGTCACTATGTTCAAAAGCATCTTAAATAATGTTTCTTATTTTTATTAAAAAACAGGCAGAAAAAAAGGCACTTAAAATATTCAACAAAGTGCAAATAATTTATTTTTTATTTTTTTAAGATTTATTTATTTATTTACTTGAGAGAAAGAGAGAGCACAAGCAGGGGTAGCATCAGGCAGAGGGAGAGGGAGAAGCAGGCTCCCCGCTGAACAAGGAGCCCAGTGCGGGGCTCGATCCCAGGACCTTGAGATCATGACCTAAGCTGAAGGCAGAGGCTTAAAGACTGAGCCCCCCAGGTGCCCCAAGTGCAAATAATTTAAAAAATTATTTTCTAATAGGGAATAGCTAAAATTATTCTATCATGGAAACTTCTCGGAACACATTAAGGAAGGCATTTCTTATACAAAGATATCTCATTTAATAGCAAAACAAAACCATGATGAAGACAAGTTCAAATACATAGGCTAAAGCTAGTTGAACACTGTTTTCTCTGTTAATTAAGTGAATTTACAAAATAATAATCATTTCACACTTACCACTGTACCAAGAAACTGAATGCTCATGTTTCCACCTGCTTCTCGAGAAAGACACTGGAAAAAAAAAAAAAGAAGTATAGAATGAATTCACATCCACACAAAATGTGTACATAAGTGTTCGTAGCAGCATTATTCCTAATAGCCAAATAACCTAAATGTCCACCAACTGGTACATGGATAAACAAAATATGATATATTCATACAATGGACTATTTGGCCATAAAAAGAATGCAGTGCTGACGCATGCAAGAACAGAAGGCCGTCACAAAGGGCCACGTATTATATGACTCCATTGAACATGAAATGTCCAGAACATGCAAATCCAGAGATAGGAAGTAGATTAGCACAGTTTGGCGGTTCTCCACAGAAGACCCGCAACTGCTCTAGGGACTTCCTGGTCCTCACACTTCCTGGGCTAGTACAGGTTGCCTAAGAACACACCAAATGTCACATCTTTTCATTAGCGTAGATTATAACACCTGTCAAGGGAAGGACTGAAAGAATTTTTTGATTCCCTAAGAAATTGGGGGGCGGGGGAGTGAAACTTGGAGCTTCATGGACCTGTCAAGAATTAGGAACGAAAATAATGAAGATACACATAAACTCTGGCTGTCCTACTGAAAAAAGAAACATGCTCCTGAATCTACAGCAGGGTGTCAAGAGGCAAAGATTGCCAAAAATGCTAAGTCTGGAACGTAAGAAAGGGTAGCAAATTCTACGGATGCATTAGACGAAGTTGTCCAGGAAAGAGACGATGCCCTAAGGCTTCTTCAGACTGCTCAAGAAAAAGCTAGACCTCATGCTTGGATAAGAGGCATCTTTGGAAGAATCATCTGGCACAACTTCAAGAAGTGACTATGCCTTGGTACCTAAGTAACAGATACAATAAGAAATGATTCTTTGCCATGCCTCACGTGGCACATTTTGTCAGACGGAGACTGGAGAAGTAAGCCCACATTAAAGCCAGTAAGTCTAGGGGAAAACAGTAAGAAAAATTTCTTCAGAAAGAGTTTCCACATCTTTCTGAAGCCCAGAAGTCAAGTCCTATCTAATAAGTTTGAACTCCTAACTTACCATTTTATTCTTCTTGGATAATAGTCTATATACAAAAGTAAATATATGTTAAGTGGCTTCATAAAGAACTCGTGTTTTCAGCTGAATGACAACTGATTTATTGATTGGTCGAAGTGTTATATGCCATGCTAATTCTGGGAGTGGTCGTGCTTTTACCAAACTTTGAAAAAAACCAGGTATAAAGCACAGATCAAATTCCTTTTAGAAAGAAAGGAAGTGGGGGGGAGGGAAAAGAGACGGAAGAAGGGAGGAAGGAAAGGTGGCTGCCTGAGGGAGAGGACAGGGAGGAAATGAGAAATGACTGCTAATTAGTAAGGCTTGCTTTCTGCGATGGTGAAAATGTTCTACAACTGTTTGTGGTGATGGTTGCACAACTCTGTGAAGAGACTGAAAACACCAACTTGTGCACTTTGGGTGAACTGTGTGGTATGTGAATTCTATCTCAATAAACCTGTCATAAAAAGTCAGCATTTGTTTAAAATAACAAGAGGACAACACAATGCTTCTACATCCAGAGAGTAGTGAAAATAGATATAACCTCTACGTTATGCAAATATTTGTAAATAAAAAAGCTCAAAGTGAATACAATAGGATTTATGCATATCTTGTTTGAATTTTAGTTTGCTAGAAATGGATAACTAAATAGTTCACTGGAAGTAAATTATATATATTTTTTCCAGATAATTCTCACCTGTAAAATTGCTCTATTTATTCCTAGCTTATTCTTCAAAATTCTTTCTTTCCTGTGCTACTCAGAAAGGGCCTAATGGCCTCAAAGACTCCACAAAAAAGAAAGCTTTTCTAACTAAGCAGCTGTATGTTTTTTTAAAGTTCCCGGGCGTAGCCCTGGGACGCGCAGGGCTGCCTGTCATGTCCTATCACAGATACATCCTCATTTTATTCTTTTTAAGAAGTATAGGTTTACCAACCCCAACCCTTAAGATCATTCAAATCCTAGAACCCAGAGCAAATCTCCAGAATTCAAGCTGAGTCCGTGGTTCCTTGATTGAGGGAAGTTAGATCAGTCAGAAGGAAAGCAGGTTAATGCACCAGGGCAACAAGACGCTTACCCCACCCCCAAGTACTGCCCCAGTGACTCAACACAAGAGTAGTCTGACCAGCACACTCAACGTGGTGTGGTACAGTGCAGAAAACTCAAAATCAGTATTTTTATCCATTAATTTCACTTCTAAGAATTTATCCTAAGGGAAAAAGTCATGAGTAGGCAAAACAATAACAACAACAACCAAAAACAAAAGAAGCCCACAGCTACAAAAATGACATCACAGCGCAGTTTATAGAATCTAAAACCTTCCAAGCAACCTAAATGATGAATAAAAAAACCTGGTGAAATAACTTATGGTATAATCCATGCAGCCATTAAAAAATCTGAGACATGAAAAATGTTCATAGTATATTTCTAAGTGCGAAAAAAAAAAAAGAACAAAACAATATGTTTGGAATACATCATGATAAAAAATTGTATATGTTAAAGATAAAATTCTAGCACAAATAATGCACATAGAACAGTTAACTATTACTTCTGGGTGGAAGATATTAGTTGGCCTTTCTTTTTGGCTTACCTAATATTCGTATTCTTCCAAATGGACATATAGAACTTAATAAAGGCAAAAAGAGAAACAGTACAGAATGGAACAAAATCAATTACTTCCCTCGATGTCCTAAGGGATTAAGAACTGAGTCCTGAATCCTGGGTTTTGACACTGGCACTTCTACTTTGGTCCTCCATCCATCCATCTATCCATCCACCCATCCATCAACTATATTGAATTGAACACTGCTAGCTGAATTAAACTTCACCCTCTGGGAAACTGAAGGAAAGAAGAAAATTCTACAAAAATTATAGGGCCATCTGGCTGGCTTAGTCAGTAGAGCATGCGACTCTTATCTCAGGGTTGTGCGTTCGAGCCCCACACTGGGGGTAGAGATTACATTTAAAAAAAAGAAATAAAATAAATTGTAATTTAGTATGATAAATCCATAGTACAAAATGTACAAAGTATTAACAGGTAAGAGGCCAGACCAGCTAAATGCCCAGAAAGGTTAAGGAACACCTGAAGATACACAGTAGAGCTGGGTACTAAAAAATAAGCAGACATTCTCCAAAAGGGAAATAAATGAAACACTTTTGGTCAGATGGGACAGTGTATGCAAATTTCAGATAAAGAAAACACACGAGAGTTTAAGGCTTGGTGAATTGTCCCATATGGCCAGAGATAGGTTTGGTTAATGGAGTGAAGGGGTAAGAAAGGAAAACCGAGAAGGAATTAACAGAGCCAAGTCCCATCTGAAAGACAGATTTCACACTTAACCAAATTCTTATATTTAAAAACTGGGGAGTAACATGGTTGTTTTAGAAAGATTGATGGTCTGATGTAAGGTTCAGGATACACAGGAATGGGGGAGGAGGTGGGCTGGGAGACCAAGGAAAATGCAGCAGGTAGCATTCACTCAGGTAGGGAGGCTCAAAGGCTAGATAGAGGTGAACCCAAAAGTAGAACTAAGCCTGTTTCATTCACAGAAACTTAGAATTTGGAGAGCAAATGGATCTCAAAATCTACATTTCGTTTTACTTATGAGGAAAATAAAGATAAAGGGATATAAAAATAATTTGCCTGCATTGCAACTGGAGAATAAGAATCCTAACCTAGGGACGCTTGGGTGGCTCAGTCATTGAGTGTGTGCCTTTGGCTCAGGTCATGATCCCAGGGATCAAGCCCCGTGTTGGGCTCCCTGCTCCGCGGGAAGCCTGCTTCTCCCTCTCCCACTCCCCCTGCTTGTGTTCCCTCTGTCGCTGTGTCTCTCTCTGTCAAATAAATAAAATCTTTAAAAAAAAAAAAGAATCCCAACCCAAGCAGTTGTGCAGGGTTGAGATATCTCTACTGTGCAGGATGGAATATCTCTACAATCTCAGACCAGATTATCACTTAGATGGTGAGTTCTTTAAGAACAAGGACCATTTCTTACACTTCTTCCTTAATCCCAACAGCATGCAAGTGAGTGCCACAGAAATGGAAACGAAAAATCAATCTTCACCAAGAATTCTGAAGTTTTTCCATACTATGAAAGACAAGAGTGATCTACATATCTCTCAGTCTTCGACTGTTTAACCAAAGTTTTAGCAGGGCAGAGTTAGAGGTGTGGCTGTCAAGAAATTAGGGAAAGAAGTGCTGTAGAATGATGTAGATTGAGGATAGGGAGTCCAATGATACTCTGACTTCCACACTGCTGAGGTTTTAAGAGTAGTGAGGAAAATACTCAGTGAAAGCATTGCCATTACTCCAAACCCAGGCCTCAACCCAGCAGCTGTTAAATCTTCCTTCCTCAGAAGCTTGAGGCAGAGATCCAGAATCCAATCCATATTTACCAGAACAGATTCAGCACAATTAATCACCTCTGTCATGCAGCAACACACTTAATCCTAAGAGCTGTTCAGAATGAGAAATTTTCTGACTGAAAAGTGTGGCTGTTGGCTTCTGGGAAGATGGCAGTGGTGACATGGTTTCTGAATCTTCCGCAGAAACACAAGAGGCCCAGAGGCAACAAACATCCCTAGCACCCAAAATGTTGTCTACAAATACCACTTCCCACTCTAAGAAATCAAGGTTTCTCGGCAGAATGGCTGATCCCGGGTTTGGGGCAGAAATGAGGCTCTATATCTTGTCACACCAGAAAGTAAGGAGCTATCAAAGATTGGGGCCATGTTAGAAAGACTCAGGACTGAAAAAATTCCCTGGCCAGAGCTGGGGAAGTCTGACCGACAATAAGGATTATAACTGCAATGGATTAAAGCAGACCAGGTATGTTTGAATCCATGAGTTCAAAGTGGATACCAGAAACAAAAACAAAACACCCTAATTTAGTCACTTTGGGAGAATCATAGGGAACCAACTCTCTAGGAACTGGGAAGTCAAGGGAAAGGATCCAGCATTTATCTTTTCTATGAACACTGTTGTCCT